TTCTATGCATTTTTTATAACTTTGAAATTTATTTGAATATACACATTTGTTTGCGCATTACGTCCATACAAATGTTTAAGGTTCGGTTGGATGGAAGACCTTGCTGCCCCGCCTGTTTGTCAAGAACGGTTTTTGAGGGGCGGCAACTTTTTCCCCACCACCGAGCAATCCATTAATTTCGCTGACTGCAATATCGGCTGGAACGATGATCATGACCCGCGCGCCTACGCGAAATCTGTAACATCGACAGAGGCGATGATCACGAAATCCTACTCCCGGACTCGCCGCTACGATTTAGTGCCATGCTTTTGGTATCGCCTAAAACCGGAGCGTTGTGCATCTCCCCACTCATCTCTGACTCTAGAAACCTTGCAACAATAGTGTCATCTGCAAACGAAGTACAGAACTACTGAGACTATACCGGATGCCTGCATTACAAGATGTAAACCGGAAGGTTTGTAAATACATGGCGCTTGCGTTTGCGCAATAACTGGTTCTCTTTTCTACTAGGGCCGTTTGTTGAAACGGGTTCCTGTAGCGGCGTTTTCTCATTTTCTTCAAAAATGGTGAGTAAACACATTTAAAAAATATACATATAGCCCTTATCGAAATAGCGCTTTCTATTTTAAAGACTATATAATATTTTGGTACAATTGGAGATGCATTTTTGGGAAATAGATTCGTGAAGCATTATAAGACACGTTATGGCGTTCGCGAGCACATGAATTCTTACAGTGTTCGTTCACCATATGTCTGAAAGTTTTAAACGTAGGATACTTATTTTATGAAGATGTTATTTTAATATTACTCTTGTCTTGCAAATTCTTATATATGACTGCTAAATGTTCGTATATGCAATTACTTAATAGAAGTTTGTTCAGGTTAAAATGATACAACAAAGATTTTACCACGTCGTCCATTACATTTTGTTAAGGATCAAATGTTTATGTGAGGCACTAACTCCAAATCCTTATTTGTTATTCGAATTAGTGAAAAGATGTTATGCCAAATGTTCTCTTGCTTAGAAATGTATCTTTAAAATCTTTATATGTAGACAGTGTGTAGTTAAATATATGTCTGTATTATAATAATGAGTGATTTTACCATGTGATGATATTCTCAGCTCGCTTTGATACAGAACTGAAGAAACTCAAATGTTCCCTAATCATTGTTGTAATCTGATTGGTGAAAGAAATAAAATATTTATATCTATGATGACTTTCATGTCCATGTGGTAATAAAAGATTTCTACTTGCAGGGTTTTGTGAAAGTTGTTAAAAATAAACAATACTTTAAACGGTACCAAGTAAAATTTAAAAGGCGTCGTGAGGGTAAAACTGATTATTATGCACGTAAACGTCTTACCATACAAGATAAGAACAAATATAACACTCCTAAGTACAGACTGATCGTTCGTCTCTCAAATAAAGATATCACCTGCCAGGTAATTAATTGAATATTTTTTATAATAAGTACTATTGTAAAAGAATTTCATTACGTGCAAAAAATGTTGTATTGAATATTGAAAATTTATGTACTTACATAATTATTTTTGTTTTGAGTAGGTGGCATACTCTCGTATTGAGGGAGATAGAATCGTATGTGCAGCATACAGTCATGAACTTCCCAAATATGGGATTAAAGTTGGGCTGACAAATTATGCCTCAGCATATTGCACAGGTCTTCTGCTCGCCAGAAGAGTAAGTACATGATTTAAAACTTTATTACTTATAAAGTACTTTGCCTATTAGATGCAAGTTCATTTAGATTCATTATAATTATGCTTGTGTTCATATTTAGTTGATATTATATTACTCACAAGGAACATAATTTTAGTGTCTCCCTCCGATTTTGAGGAAAGTCAACTATGTTGTAGCGCTTGAAAATCTAAGAGACACGTGTTTCATTTTATTGGAGGAAAAACGGTTTTAGGGGGGCGGGTGAAATCAACCCTCAAACTTCAGCATGTTGAGGGGTGATAATACAGTTTCACTTAGAAGGGGTCGACCAATTTCAATGAAACCAAAACTAAAATGTTTCTCATCACGAGTAATGTAAAGTGCACCTAGACATTCAAAAAAAAATTGTCTTTTGAGGGTGAACCATACCTCGAGTATTCTTTTTTTCACTCTATTTAAAAAACTTATAAATGGAATTTAATGAAACACTTACTATTTGAAAGAGGAAGTAAAATTATAGTTTACAAGTTTTTGCTCTTTTGCAGGAAAACACGTTTAAGGGGGTAAACTACTCCCTGCATTCCGATACATAAATTCCCATATAGGACCACTTCTCGCGAATTAGAAGAATAAAACGTATGATTTTCATTAAAGATTATAATTATATATCTGTGAATTGGCATAGATTTAGTGATTTTTATATTTGAATGACGTAAGTAGTTAAGCGAAAAGAAAAAAGATACTAGAAGTAACCAAATACTTTAGCTAACTTAGATATCCAAATATATTACAGTATTGGAATAGACCGCGTAGCTCACCGGGTAACGATTGAGCCTAGAAATCGTGGGGTCATTGGTTCGAGTCTCACTTCTCGCAATTTTTTTTCCCCTTTAAATACTTCATTCACATATAAAAATCACTAAACCTATGCCAATTCACAGATATATAATTATAATCTTCAATGAAAATCGCACGCACTAAAACCGTTTTTCCGCCGATAAAAAAAAACACGTGTCACTTAAATTTTCAAGTGCTACAACATAGTTATTTCATTAAAATCGGAGGCGGACATTAAAGTGATGTTCCTTGTCAGTGTGCAATGAATTCATTGTATGGATGTTAATGCTTCACTATATGATGATCCACTCAGCTCGCTTTGATACACACATGAAGAAAAAAAAATTGTTCCCTAATGTATCAAACAATCTGATCAGTGAAGTTAAAATAAAATCGGATAATTACTAAAAGCATACATAAGTACAATTCTAATATCTGTATCTTATATCAATAGCTCCTGAAGAAATTGGGCCTGGACACATTATATACTGGCACTACTGAAGTGACTGGTGATGAATATAATGTAGAAGAACTCGATGATGGCCCAGGAGCATTCAGGTGTTACCTGGACACTGGTCTGATGCGCACAACTACTGGCGCTCGTGTATTTGGAGCCATGAAGGGTGCCGTCGATGGTGGCTTGAACATCCCTCATAGGTATTCATTATAATTCATTTTATTGCAATCTAATTTGATTTCTATAAATTAATTCATGATGAATTTTTGACACATGCGCGTCATCTGAGCCATCGTGAAGTCGAATCTTTGTTTCGCGTTTTGCTGAAGCAAAAGGAAACTGAACACAGGCATTATATGATTATAAAGTGTCTCTGAAACTCTTTCAAGATTCAATATTTCGTTGTCTCACAAAGATCCGTTCTTAATGGTACATTTTCTTCTAAACAGTACTAAAAGGTTCCCTGGCTATGACAATGAGTCTAAGTCTTTTAATGCCGATGTTCATCGGCAGCATATTTTCGCCCAGCATGTTGCCAACTATATGCGAACTTTGGAGGAAGAGGACGATGACGTTTTCAAACGTCAGTTTTCTCAGTACATCAAAAATGGAATCACCGCCGCCGCAGTGAGTATCCACTATATATTGGTTCTTGAAACATGAAATAAAATATTCAGAATATATTCGTCCAACTTATAATTGCTGGCAGAATTTAAGCTGTCTGGTAGCGTCGCAGTTGGACCACAACAATACATGGGTCGATATAAATATGAAACATATTCTATTGAATGTTTTCTTAGCTGATCTTTGTTACATTTACTTTCCCAAAATTATGGTACTTTTTAAGAGGTGTTTAAAAATCGTTTATTTACCTCTTTCATTTTGTGTCAAATAGATTGAAAGCATCTACAAGAAGGCCCATGAGGCAATTCGAGCCAACCCTGAACACCAGAAGGTAACCAGAACGAAGGAACCAATAAAGAAACGTTGGAACCGTGCAAAGTTGTCGCTCTCTGAGCGCAAGAATCGTGTTGCTCAGAAGAAGGCGTCCTTCCTGAAGAAGCTCGAGGAAGCTGAAGCATAATTCCTCATTTTGTCCATCTATCGTCTTTCGGCCCATTGCAACTCGGCTGCCAGTGAAGCAAGTGCACATTGCTCTTTACGTTACATCATTGGATTCTGTATATGCAGCGCATGGGAAGTCATACGAGAATACAATAAAAATTTATTGGATGAAAGATTAATTAATTTATTAATAAATAACGTCCCTATACCTGAAGTCTGTCTGGACATGCATCAGATATTCAAATGTAATGTCTATAATAAATTATAATACGTAAAACGAAAGTATTAGGGTAAGTAATATGTGTGTATATGTAAAAATGTATTGGTCCATAATTTTTTTTTTTATTATATAATCAAGGTAAGGGATTTTTTCAACCAATTAGAATAATTTTTTAATGAATCTTTAAAATAAGGGAAGTAATAGTTTTAAAATAAAAAAAAATAAGACCATCTAAAAAATAATGATATTTGAATGCCTATTACCCTGCGGTAGGCAAGGCGATGATGGAGAAGTTATAGGGGATGTTCATAATTTACTCCCAACTCTTAAAAAAAATTGCTTCATAACTTACAGCTATTAGTAAAAAAATAGCTCTATTTCATCTTTATAGCTTTATGAGATGGCTAAAAAATTAGAGTCCTGATTGACCAATCAAGAGTGTAGTTTCCTAAATAGTCCGACTAATTGTAAGCTGTGATCATGCCTTTAAGGGTTCATTCAGACCGAAAGCACCGGGAAGCGGGAACCGAGCAGCGGAATCTTAGCTGTGAAAATACATTTTCTGCCTTTTTATGTTAGCTAGTCGTATGAAAGCATTAAGAAATAAGATATTTACCTGAATTACGTATATAGAGTTAAGTATACTACATTGAAAATAGTAATACATAATTTTTCTTAAAACATGACTTCATTACCTACTAAGCAGATTCCAATGCTTGGACTGCGATTTTGCAACGGTTTTACTATGCGTTCAACCCTCTATCCCCACCCCTCACCAATACGGGTCGATCTATGATTTTAAACAACACGCGAGGTGATCAAAAAGTGTACGTAGAGTTAAAGTTCTTATCGTCAGTCTGTCAAAATAATTGAAATAAATGTTTAAGTTTTATTATTAATTCACATCTGTAAATAAAGTGATCATATATTTGATTTCATAAATTTGTACACGCACAACTTTAACGGGCGCAGTAAAATGTGCTACGGCACTTCATTTTAGAACATTGACGTATTAGAAAAGGGTTCCTTAAAGATCTAAAACATTTTGTTTCCTAGAAACTTTCTCCTACATATTCTATGTTATACTAATCATATTTTTATTAGAAAACATTTTTTTAAAGTTATTACTTCATGCTGTGGACGGAATTATATGCATTCATGAACATGGAACATACATGTGTCATATGGCTACCACGGCCAGAGACGGCACTGGATTTTCTTTGCAGTCATTCTATTACTGCTAACATTACTGGTAGAAAATATTTTCGTAATATTGATACCGCAATTTCATTATATCAAACAATTATGCAGCAGTTTGGTGTGTAATTATATCTTATTCTTCTTACTATACAAGAGCAAAAGTATAAATTAAAGCATGACATGCTCTTAGAAGAAATTACTGGTGCAGGCTTCATGAAAGCACGTGTTGCAGGCTACGGATTTCATAGGTTTCGATCTGTCAAAAAACCACACCGAATTCGTGGACCTACTATAGATATAGAAAAGACATAGATGTAGCATAACCCTGCGGTGTGCAAGCCGTCCAGGGAGGGGTGCCGAGTTAGACTGTGCCTACTTGTGATTGGTTACTATTGGAAGCAAGCGCAGTGATGTTAAAGTGCTACGTAAAAACGGTAGTACCAATCATGTTAAGGCACAGTAAGGGAGGGGTCAGCTTGAATTTGATTGGTTATGCAGCGAACTCCCCCCCCTCATTTTGCCTCACGCCCCTCGCAGACAATATCAGTTTATGCTACATCTATGTCTTTTCTATATCTGTGCTCTAACATCGTTGAGTGTATAATGCCCTCTGTACTTATGCCTGCGAATCAAACTCCATGTTCTCATACATTTGAAAAACGTTAAGGAAGGAGTCATTTGAAAAAGGTCATCGTGAAATTAAATTGAGCTTAAGAAAAAGAAGCCATAGGGAAGGAAAGATAATATACGTGAAATAAGTATACTAGTGATAAGTAAGTTGATTAGTATATCATTAGGGAAATCGTTTTCATATACATTACATTTTGCATGTGATTAATTATTGTTTCTTTTAGTAAAGTTGTGTTTGTTATGATATAATATTATTCTATATTTTGTATTACAAAATCTTTTAATATAAATTATTTTAAATACCAGTGACAAGACGTAAGAATAGAAAATATTCTGAAAAGGAGAAACTATGTCTTGTGAACTTTGTCCAAGATAACAAACATATAATAGAAGATACATGCAAATGTGGGACAATGCGGCTACAAAGAAAGAAGAAGTGGATAGAACTTTCCAATACTCTGTTGTCTATGGGGTTTAGCCATTCTTGGAAGGAATTACGACTACTTTATAAAACATTGAAATACAAAGCTAAATATAAAGTCACGACATGGGAGGAACATTATAAAGGAAGTGATAGTAAGAAGTCACAGACTATGCCAGATAAAATAGACTTTGTGATAGCAAAATTATGTTCCGAGGAATCAAAGATGGCCAACAAGTGTTTTCATGAATGTGTTTGTATTACAATAGAATAATATAATGAAGTATATAATATTAGATTTGATTAATTAGATAACTCTTTATTAATAGCAATTGCAAGGATACACCAAAAATCTGACATCAATATCCAAAAAGAAGCAAAAAATTAATAAAAGCACCATTAATCCTATCCACCAGTAAGTTTTTATTTTATCCATATTTTATAACTTAATTTTTTTTGAATTTATAGTCATTTATACATATTTTAGAGAACAACATCAAATGGAAATAGATAGAGATATACTAGATACAACCCAGACAGTCATGGCTGTTTCTTTATCTGAGTCTCGAGCAAATGAAACTACAGAGAAACAATCATGTGCCGAGTCTTTACTTGAGCTCCATAAAAAGCAGTGGACCATTAGATTTGAATTACAATTACAAGAACATGACGCTAGAATGGCATTGCTTAAAGAAGAAGAAAGATACAAGAGAATATTTAACAATTATGCCCTTGAAGAAAAGAAAATGAGAATTGCAATTCTACAGAAACAATTAGACAATCTGGAGAATTAAAATACACAGTTATAAATAAATTGATAAATATTATATTTTTACTTGTATGAACTATGTTGATTATGAAGTATTACAGGTAGAATGCTAAATATTCTTATAACTTAGACTGGTATTTTTGTATAAAAATAGTAATAGTTTATGCAGTCATGCAAACAGTTTTGAAGCTACTTGTATCCACTGAGCATAATATTATATTTTCATGGAAAGTAAATTACTATTGTAGTGTACTGTATTCTTGGACCTTGATATTAAACAATTTTTTATTTTAATTTTTGTGGGCATTAAAGTATTTACAGATTAAGTAAATGTTTTTAGTAATTATATTATTTTTAGTATTTTATAATAGAAATTTGACCATATATTACAAAATAACAATTAACAAAATGCATTAAATCTGTAGATTTTTTCCTAAACAATTTAACTACGCAATAGATTTCTTTGTTTCGTTCTTAGGAAAATCATTTTTTAGACACTTTCTACAGATTCTACACATATATGTACAAGTGAAAAGATAATCTGGTGAATAATGGGAAGGAAGTTAGAAACAGTGGAATGGCGGTTTAGGATTTCATTCTGGCACGCTTGGCGAATGTTTCCGGCGTGGTACTGCCAGACGTTTCATGCGTCCTGCCAAAATTATTGTGAATTAACAAACAAGAAATTAATTTGAAGTCGGCACTGAATTAATTGATGTAATTTTTAAAAGGGCGCGAAACAACAATTTCGATATCTCGTGTGACGAGGTAGCTAGAAACAATAAAAGATCCGCGCGTAGTGTCACTCATGTTTTTAACCGATTGACAGCTATTTCATTAAATTGATTTGCGTGATTTGTTATGTGATAGTGTTTGTGCTCGTATAATTAATTCGCATTCTTTTTAAGTTGGGTGGTAAACTGCATTGTGTGAATATACTTATCATAACATAACATAACCTTATATCAATTTATTTGTGGTATTGTGTTGACGGTGCTATATAAGTGAAAATGGTACCTTTGGGACCATCACCGGGGCATCAGACCTCTGTTAATAATTCTATGAGCACTCCCACTAGTGGCACTAAGGGCAGTTCAGCTGTGGTATGTTAGAAAATGTTATTTTGCTCTTAGTTTAATATTTACAAGACCCAAACGAATTTCTTGAAGTCTCTATGTTGGATTTATAATAATTACCTTAATTAATTTCAGAAACCTAATTATACCTTGAAGTATACACTTGCTGGTCATACAAAAGCTGTCTCTTCTGTTAAGTTCAGTCCAAATGGAGAGTGGTTAGCAAGTTCATGTGAGTATTCATTAAATTTTAGCTATTTTTATATTGTTTGTTGTATTATTTAAATACATTTAGCATAAATGCTTGGACTAATATAGTTGTTTTATATCATATTTGTGCTCTGTTACACTAATATATTTTTCTCCTTATATAAATTTAATAACTAAAGAAAGTTATGAATATAGTTAATATAGAATTATTATTATAACAGACACGTCAACTGATCTTATTCAAATAACTTAATACCAAAGTTTACATATATAATTTTTTTTTTTCTTTACAGCGGCTGATAAACTTATAAAAATATGGGGTGCGTATGATGGTAAATTTGAAAAAACAATATCTGGTCACAAGTTGGGAATATCTGATGTTGCTTGGTCAAGTGACAGCCGGTTGTTGGTTTCTGCATCCGATGATAAAACACTTAAAATTTGGGAACTAAGCTCAGTAAGTATTTATAAAAATAGAAAATGATATTCTGTGTTGAACAGCTTTATTCAGACACTATTGAAAGAGTGAAGTATTAGAAAGCTAGTGTATAATACAATCTTGAATCCTTATGCAGGTGTCGGTACTTTGATCAAAGCTCTGTGTATAATCTTTGGTATCTGTATAAAGAACCAGCTTTAATGAGCTCAAAAATTCAATTGTTAATAATAGACATTGCTCTGTTGGTGTAATAATATATGTCCATTAAAAGTTTATTCACATTTGTGATTTTGTGAACATAAATAACTATACGTTTCTTTTTAGGGCAAATGTTTAAAGACTTTAAAGGGACACAGTAATTATGTATTTTGCTGTAATTTTAATCCTCAATCTAATCTCATTGTCTCTGGATCGGTAAGCTGATTTACAAACAACAAAATATCTTTTACAATTTGGAAATATGTAGAAATAATACCTAATTAATTATTATTTAAATATCAGTTCGACGAAAGTGTCAGAATTTGGGATGTGAGAACAGGAAAGTGTTTGAAAACATTACCAGCACATTCAGATCCTGTGAGTGCCGTTCACTTTAACAGGGATGGTTCTCTAATAGTATCCAGTAGCTATGATGGTTTATGGTAGGTTATTTACTATTTAATTAACATTAGGAATCAAGTATTTTCAGTAACTACTGTGACATCACATTTTTCCAAAAACACTTTAGCCTTTTTTAGATGCTTTGTTTTTATTGTCATGCAGATTTATGTTTCGTGAATACATGTAACCCCCCTGCTAGTTTATTTTAAAAAAAGAACGAACGTAGTTTTATAATAGAGTTGATCTAAATATATGTATTCTTATTTCTAGTCGAATTTGGGACACAGCTTCTGGGCAATGTTTAAAAACGTTAATAGATGATGATAATCCACCAGTGTCGTTTGTTAAATTTTCTCCCAACGGCAAATACATATTGGCAGCTACACTGGACAACACATTGAAACTTTGGGATTACAGTAAAGGGAAATGTCTTAAAACGTACACAGGACACCGCAATGAGAAGTATTGTATATTTGCCAACTTCTCTGTAACTGGAGGAAAGGTAATAAATAATTGCAATAAAAATTGAACGGTTAATGCATTTAAAAAGTTTAAATAGTTCTGATGTTTCAGACTTCACAGTTTAGATTTTTTATGTTGCTCATGATAAATTCTACAATTATAGACCACTAAAATTTGTCCAAATGCAATATTTTTTGGTGCATATAGTATATCTGGTAGGGCATTTAAGGTAGCTCATAAGGTATGGCACATCCAGCGTCGCTGTGCTTTGTCCAATCAAATTTTCAGAGAAACAAATTATTATTGTTAAGTTATAGTCCTTAGAATAAAATAGTAAAATACAGGATATTCCTTTAGCGCATGATGAAATAGTACATTATGCCACCAGGGAGGAAACTGCGTGATTTTCGCCGAGTGCGAGGATTGGTGCTCGAGCACGAGGTGAAAATCCGCGCTCATTCCGTGTAGCATATATTACTTTTTACCCGACTATTTTTAAAATAATCATATTTTTATGCCTGCACTGACACAACGCTACAATATATGTATAGGTGTAGGTTTACATTTTATTTCTTTTGTTTAGAGTTTTTTTCTTCCCGCAATAATCACTTTTTTGCCCACAAAATCACTTTTTTCCCCTCTGGTCAAAATTGATTACTTTCCGCCCGTGTTGCAGGGATGGAATATGGTCATTTTATCGTAGTCGGGTAAACAATATTTTTTGTCTTTCAATCCCCCACTCCCCCCCACACAAAAGTGAACATTCTGGATAATTTAGAGAGCTGTAATTTGGTTGGAAACGACACGTCGAATACTTAGTTATTACTGTGCTGTTTTATCAGAAAACTTTATGGTATACACTTTTCGATTTGATGTCATTCGATTTTCTAATAATTCGTTTCATCCTCCGTCTTTACCAATGAGTGGTTGCAACTCTTTTTATGACAATAATCGATCCTTGTTTTTTAATATTAATTTTCTTGTAATAAATAGAGAATTATTTTTTTCTTGCAACAGTGGATCGTCTCGGGATCAGAAGATAATATGGTTTACATTTGGAATCTCCAGACAAAGGAAATTGTACAGAAATTACAAGGTCACACAGGTTAGTTAAAAATATTTAATTGTAGTGCCAACTCTTTTTATATTTAAAAATCATTTCAGCTGATATTTGCCTTTTTATGTTGCAGACGTAGTGCTGTGCACGACATGTCACCCGACTGACAACATTATAGCCTCTGCGGCTTTAGAAAACGACAGAACAATAAAATTATGGAAAAGCGATACGTAAATTAGGTATACAAAAACAAGACGAACTATCGTTTTTGTGCAAGCCTCTTCCTTACTCTGTACAAAATAAAATCATATACAACATAAATCAACAACAACAACAATATAACAAATCATATACGAATATATTTTACACTTCTCGAGTTCCATGAGAAGTATAGTAACATTACATAACTAAATAAATCAATGAAGAACTACGTCAATTTTTAAAATTTAACATACTGGTTTATTTTCGTAAAAAGCAGCAAAGGCATATGCTTTATTATCCAACAATAATGAAGGTCGCATTTCAATATATCTGTGCAGTTTTAAAATTTTTGATTGGTAAGATTTTGTAAAGAACGAAGCGCATGCATTCTATTATGCATACATTCGATGATATTGTACATTTCATATGTATCGGGGAGAAACAAGGGGATTCGGGTTCGGACTGTTGCGCGATGTAAATCGCTGTCTAGCTTCCTGTATACGATTCAGTAAAAGCGGGGTCTCGCCTGTTCTTTCTTAATCCATTACATCCTGGCTCTTAGGCCATTTTATTCAATATATACAGATTTGATGCCTCACAGTTACTGCGTAAAGATCTAGCCGGTGGAAGTATTTAATTATTTATCTACAAATAAAGATCCTTTTTGTCTCTATCTAAACTGTGAAGTGGAAGAACTACTATTGGAGTGGAGTTCCAAGTCATTTTTGAAGCTGGAGTTTGGAGCCGACTATTGTGACCTTACATTGCCCTTCTCGGAGGATCTTGAGTTATCTCACAATTTCTAAGATTTCATTGGGAGGTCAATTGCAGCTAAGTAATGTCGTCTCCTGTCTCTTTTTCATGCCCTCATATCGGTGTGGTCTACTGTATTAAACAGGTGGAACCGTCTTGACCTACCTGGACTGAGACGGATATGTCTTTTCCCTAACTTCTTTATTGTCTCTTGATTCTTCAGCGAGAGCCTGCCGACTGCCTCCCTGAGATGACAGATAATGATACCTTAAAGAGAAAAAAGAGAGTTAGGGATTCTCCGTCTTCGACGCCGGATGAGTCGTCTTATCTTTCTCTAGAAATGGTCTAGATAAATTAATTGTACCCTTTGACTCTTTCTTGAGTGCAAACAACTTCGTGGACTCCATTCAGTCTTCTGGTAACGAATGGTTGGCTTACGTTCTTGATTTTAGAACTACAAAAGTGGATGTGATCAGAAACGTGGACCCTGAGCTTTCCCTTGACTGTATCCGAGAGGGTATCGTTCCTTTGTCTCAGGACTCGAACTCTGAGGAGGTCATTAGACTGGAAAGAATTTTTCATACCACTATAGATACATCTGGGTCCAAGGTTTCAAGGGTTTCTTCATCGGCTATTAAGTTGGTGTTTGCTGGCGACATCTTGCCGGACAGCATTAACATTTGACTAGTAGAATACCCCATTAAAACTTACATTCGTTCTGTTATCTGGTGTTTCTCCTGTTAACGGTTCGGTCACGTCTCTTCTAATTGCAGGAGTTCTCTAAGATGCGCCAACTGCGGCGAGGGGCATGCTGATAACGTTTGGATTAGCGTTACAATACTGCGTTAACTGCTCTGCCTATGATTATCGCGCCGATTCCTTTAGATGTCCGTGCTTAGCTCTACAAAAACAAGTCACGTGTAATGGCTGAAGAAAGTATTTCATATAAGGGGGCAGGATTTAAATGTGGAGTTTCTTCAAGACCAATCCTGGATAGTATCCATAGCCTTACCGTTGTGGACGAGGCCAGGAAAGTAATTCGATCTCTTTTTTCGATTAAGCTGGCCACTTTCAGACCACACAACTTTCTAAAAACCCTGTAGTCAACCGGAATCCTACTACCGTCACCCCTCTGCCTATGAGCTCAATTGTGAACCTTAAAGAGCTAGTTAACCGAGAAGTTATTAAAAAAGTAGACTCCATAATTAACCATATTGAAAAGGGTATGATTGGTCTGTTGAATGATGGATCAATCTGTGAAGCTTCTACATATAAGAAACATATGTTCAGAAGCCTTATACCCGTATTCATACTCCGTCCGTATCTCAAGGATGAAGGACGCCTTGATGAAGGCTTCCTTCAATCTTCAAGGCGTCCTTGTTTCATAGTTACACTCAGCTCTCCCTTCCAGAAGGACGGTATATTTTAGGGACATGTAATTGCCTATAGTGGCAGGACTGGCCGCCACCTCAGTCCCTCTTTGTCTATTCGAGCGACATTTTTTCAAAAAGTTTGAAATAGGGATCGCGTAGTCTATACTATAAGTCAAGCCAAGATACACCTTAAATTTTCTTTCCAGGTGTTGACTTTACGCAGCCTAGGTAAAATTAAGAAAAAACAATAATGCGTATTTCTTTTACGTATCGACCCTCATTGGGATCATCTTCAGAAAGGTTTTATTACTAGGTAAACATGTATGAACTGTTGAACAATTATTGATTAGATTGTGTAAAAAATAGTAGGTAAAACCAACAAGAGTTGTGTGTTACATGTAAAGGCAGGATTAGAAAAAAGTTAAAAAGAGCCATAGCTGATCTATTAACTATGGCTTTAGGTTTGACCTACTATTTTTTACATAATCTAACCAATCATTGTTCAACAGTTCATACATGTTTATCTAGTAATAAAACATTTCTAAAGATGACCCCAATGAGGGTCGAGACGTAAAAGAAATACGCACTGTCTTTTTTTAATAATTTTACCTGGACTGCGTAAGGTCAACACCTGGAAAGAAAATTTGAGGTGTATCTTGGCTTGGCTTATAGTATAGACTACGCGATCCCTATTCCAAACTTTTTGAAAAAATGCCGCTCGAATAGACAAAGAGGGATTGAGGTGGCGGCCAGTCCTGCCACTATAGGCAACTACATGTCCTTAAAATATACCGTCCTTCTGGAAGGGAGAGCTGAGGTGTGACTATGAAACAAGGACGCCTTGAAGATTGAAAGAAGCCTTCATCAAGGCGTCCTTCATCCTTGAGATAAGGACGGACTATGAATACGGGTATATGCGGGACTACCCCCACCACGTTCGTTGCAAGACCTGTATGTAAGACCGTGGCAGGAGCACTCTGCGCCCTCCTCATCGGGCTCCTCCAGGACGTCACTCATTGACTGCCGGACTACCGTGTCACCTTCACCGGCTTCCTTCCTGCCAACTTAAGCTAGCATGGTAGATGATTCGTCCACCCTGTCGGCCAATCTCCTTGCGATGACGACGATACTTCGCGATGTTAAGGAACTTCCCGTCATCAAGAATATGGTCGCCGAGCTGTCTGACACCACACAAAACATCTCTGCGTCCATCAGTCAGTTGTCGCATGACCTTTCGGTCGTTAATTCAAGATGCACTGCGCTTGAGGAGTCAAATCTTGCTCTTTCTGCCCGTTGCCTATCTCTTGAGGAGAGCAACTCTTCGTTTGCAATCCGTCTCGATGGGATTGACAATCGCTTCACTGTGGCTGCTCTGGCTTTCTCTTCCGTTGAGAATAATGCTGACCTTCATGCACGGGTGGAGCAACTCTCCCAGCGGCAGCTTAGCACTGAGGCTATCGTCCCTGGCCTCCCGGCTTGCCCTGATTGGACTATTGTCCAGAACATCTCTAAGCTTACTACCACTCTTGGGGTGGTTTCCGACCCTGTGGAGGTTGTGGATTCCTTTCGCCTTCCAGCTAAAGCTGGGGGTGCTCCTCCGTTGGTCCTTCGATTTGCTACTACCTCCATACGGAACACCTAGATCGACCAAAAAAGGAGGAAACCGGTGTTGCTGGCCTCGGAAGTTGATCCTGGTTTGCCTGCATCGCGTATCTACATCAACGAAAGGCTCTCTCCGACCAACATCAAACTCCTTGCTGTCTCGAGTCTTTGCTAAGCCACGCCGTGATCTCCGGGTCTGGGATCGCCACAGAACCATCTATATTCGTAAAGACGGCTCCTCTGTCTCCATCAAGATTGAACGTCCTGACGACTTCGCTAAGATTCCGGCATGACATCCATCAACTCAACGTCCCTCCCCTTTGTCTAGCGCGGCCTCGGGGTTCGTGTGTGCCACGTCAATGCTCAGTCTATCATTGCTCATATTCGCGAGTTTCGGCTATATTTCAGGTCTAACTTTTATCATATTATAACCGTTTCTGAGTCTTGGATTAAACCCCATGTATCCTATACTCTCGTGGGCCTTGAAGGGTATGCTCTGTATCGTCGGGACCGCGTTGGTCGAGGAGGCGGTGGTGTGGCGATCTACGTTCACTCGTCTATGAATGCTCGGATCATTGCTCAGTCGGAGGATATATATTGTTCGGAACCAGAATGTCTGTTTCTCGATGTCGGCGTTGCTGGCCTTCCGCGAATGCTCCTGGTTATAGTTTATCAACCACCGCACATTGGATTTCACTCCTCCTTGGAGACCTCTTTCGGTTGCTTAGCCTCTTCATATCAAAATGTTATTATCACCGATGACTTCAACGCTGATCTACTTGCGTCTTTATTCGACAGCTCTTATTTGTATTCGTTTATTGCCAGCAATGACCTGCATCTTGTCCAGCACTCTGCTACGCATCATTTTCGCGACTCACACACTTGGTTGGATCTGTACGTTGTCGATCACTCTGGCAAGGTTACTGCGTTTGGCCAGGCGTCCGTCCTGTTCTTATCGGCACATGATCTGATCTGGATCTCCTATAGGCTCAAGATCCCTTCGCCTCCTAGGCGCACGGTGACTTATAGACACTTCGGCGTCACCTCTGAAAGCGACCTTATCGCGCGGCTTGAGCTTCATGATTGGTCATCTTTTGGGTCTGAGTTCTCGGTTGATGGCAAATAGGTCTGTCTCAACCAAGCTCTCAAGGACACCTTTGATAATACCGCACCCTTGCGCACGTTTGCCCCACGTCGTGATCCTGCTCCGTGGCTATCTGCTGACATTAAAACTGTTATCAAGGAACGCAACAGGCTACACCGAACCTGTGTTCGCTCGGAATCGCGCTCTGACTTCAATGGCTACCGCGCGCTTAGAAATAATGCTCAGACTCTCATCAAACGCACGAAAAACGTTTACTGGCGCTCGGTTATCAGTAACGACCAGGGGTTGCGTACGGTTTGAGCCGAACTCCGCAGTTTAGGGATCGCCAAACCCACTTACGTCTCTCCTGGCTTGAGTAGTGATCTTGACTAGGTTAACTCGCATTTTTGTCAGGCCTTTCATTCGCACAATTACGGCTCTTCGCCTTATGAAATCCTAGATGACCACACCCCGTTCAGTGATGATAGGTTCTATTTGAAGCACATTGAACCTCGCCACCTCATGGACGCTGTCACTGTCGGTGCTCCGCGTGCAATGGGCCCTGACGGCTTTTTGTGGGATCACATCCTTCGTGGTCTATGCTTCTTGTTCCCACTCCTACTTGATTTATACAACCAATCCCTCTTAAACTCATCCTTCCCTTCAGAGTGGAAAAAATTCTTCATACGACCCATTCCTAAGGGCTCAGCTTGCCCTTCCTCCTTGTCTGACATCCGACCAATTTCGCTTCTCTGTGCTCTTTCCAAAACTCTTGACCTATTTCAGTCGGCGTACCGGTCTGGTCACAGCATTCAGACAGCCCTGATCCGAGTCATTGATGATGTTCGGGCGGCAGCGGATGCAAGAATGATTTCTATCGCGTTTTTTTTTTCGGTTTCTCCAGAGCATTCGATTCCATATGTCATGACAAATTACTGCTAGCTATGCACTCCGCCGGCTTTTCTGTCTCAGCGCGCAGGTGGTTTGCGTCCTACCTCCGCGGCCGGGCCCAGGCTACCCTCGACCTGGATGGACGGACGTCATCCTTCTCACCGGTTACGTCCGGTGTTCCGCAGGGATTCATATTAGGACCCACGTTGTTCGCGTTGTATATCTGGGAGCTACCTAGTGTTATTAAAAATTGTAAACACATGCTCTATGCCGACGACCTGCAGATCTACGCGAACTGTAAGCCTGATGACCTCTCCAGCACACTCGCATGCGTGCAGCGTGATATTGATGCTCTCTCTAGCTGGGCCTACTCAAACTGCCTCACCTTGAATCCTGCGAAGACCTGCTGTATGATCCTTGGTTGCTTCAGATACATTAATCTCGTTAACTTCGACTCCCTGCCGGGACTACGTGTTAACAATATGCTTATTCCTTTTGTTTCCTCGGCTGTATACCTTGGGGTGACTGTCGATAGTGTTCTCTCCTGGAACGAGCATGCCCTTAGTGTGTGTAAACGTATCAGCAGGACTCTATACACCCCAAAAGTTAATCGCGCTGCGCTTTCCGTCGATCTGAGGAAACTATTGATCTCCGCGCTCATTCTCCCACTCATTGATTACTGCTGATTCGGTTTTAAAGAAAATTTAGGTTACAATGAATTCCTGCGTTCGATTTACATTTGACGTCAGGCTCGACCAGCACATTTCGCCGTTTTATCTGCAATTTGGATGGCTCAAGTTTAAACAGCGCCGATTTTTCTATCTCGATGTTCTAGCGTTTAAGATACTTGGGATCGGCACTCCTTCGTCTCTTACGCCATCTGCTGTTTCCGTTTCCAGCGCCGGTCACCGCACCGTGAGGAGGGAGGGTGATCTGGTTGTTCCTGCGACTTGGATAAATATGAAAGTTCTATTTCATCGCATTCCTAATGAAAAATGGCGGGGAAGCTTCGGGTGCGCTTGCAAAATCTCGAGATCTCCATCACGGGATCATCTCCGAGAACCATAATTTTGTAAGAATCTGCAGTATCATTAAAGATGATATCATGCAGAAACTGGACCAGATTGGCCGGCGCGTTCGGAAGTTATGGCCATTTAAGTGTTTTCACTTCGAGGGGGTGTAACTCCCCCTAGAGTGATCCTACAGGGGTTCAATGGGGATGTTTTTTTAATGCCGAAGGATGCTCTCTCTCGTGCGCTGATTAAAAATATAAATTTCCTTCCGGAGCTACTAGATCTCGAAGTTTTCAAAAAGTTCCAAAATGCACTTTTTCACTCCAACCCCTGTCATTCGGCCATTTTGTAT